AAATCACAAAAATACTCCAAACTGCAAAGAATTCCAAAATGTGACACCCTTTCAAAATACCATGTATCTGCCATTGTTTTTGTTTCATTTTAACCATAAGGTGCTGTGAATTTTTTTCAGGATATGGCTTTTTCTACATTTAATACAACATAAAATTCCAACAGTTATTACTTGGAAGGAAAAACACATTTTTACTAAGTTTTGCAAAAATTGTCACAAGCCGTTTGTGAAATAAATTTCAACATTTAACAGCAACCGATACGTTTAAAGGCAAAACAAGATATACACTTCAATGGGGAATGTGAAAAAATGCCCTAGAGACATTGATTATTGAAAAAAAAAACAGTTTAGCAACGTGTAATTATGAAACCTAGTCAAATGGAAGGGATAATCATGGTTTTACCTATACCACCTTGCATGTATATTTTGAAGTTCAAAAATTTGTATCAAATGGTATGTAACTTTCTGGATATAAATCATGTTCTTATACGAGACATTTCTGCATCTGCTGCTTGATATAATGAAGATGCTGCTGAGATAGAATTGTTAAAAAGCAGAAGTTTTGAAAATGGTAACTTTGAATGACATGACTTTCCCTTTCATCTTTATGCCACAAATGCAATTTATAATTAACAAATAATTACAAAAAAATATTACACATACTGTTCACCTTAACTTAAGAAAAATCGGTGATATTGAGGTTACAATTCAAATGAGCAAAGATAGATAAATAACAAAAATGGTTTAGTATGTCCATGTTCTTTTTATGCACAGTTTAACCGTTAGACTTGGATTAGCCAAATTAGTTTGCAACTACATGTAAGTTTTGCAAATTGAGCCTTAAATGTGTTAACTTTATATACTCCATTACCCAAACAAAATGACCGATTGTGGTCCGCAAACATGACACTTTTCACTCAACAAGACAGCAAGTTTTCAAGCTTCAAAAGATTTTTACAGATATGAGTTTTCAGTTACTAGATTTTGAGTCACCCTCACCATGGGGATAAAAACCTGTGAATTTCACACGTGGCCATAGAATTATAGAAATTTATAACACCAAACGGGGTTTGCAGGTCGTAGTTTTCGAAACGGTTTTTGGAAAACGTAAATCTAAAGGGAAATTTGCTGAAATTTCTGGAATTTTTTTTTGCTTTATTGTAGGTCAAAGCCGCATTGCATGCCTTCAAAATTAAGAATTTAATTCCAGGAGTTCAAAGCGAGTGAAAATATTGTAAACGCCTAGTTCCGAGTGATGATTGAATTGCCCGCTTTTTAGAAAATAAGGAACATGAATTTTTTTTTTTTTTTGTCTTTTGATAGAATTTTGTCATCTAAGCATTAAACAATTTGAGAAATGGGTTTAATTGATTATGTACTATTTGTAAGATCAATAACTTAAGGCTGCTTTAATATGGTTTATTTCTCTTCAAAGTATTTAAAAGACGTGAATAAGTCCATCAAATGTGCAAAATTACGTGAACAGTTTTCAAAGTACCTTTTTCGTCTTTTGATGAAAAGGTCCAATTGAGCTTCATATGTGAGTTTTCCTTTACTATAAAAACAAGTTTTTCGAATTTTTGAGCACTATATTTGCATGGAAATAAACGTCAAGTCACAATTTGCTGCCTTGCTAAAGAATACCGCAAATAGTTTTACAAACGTCATGGAAGCAAACTCAGACATAATTATAGTAAAACATGTTTCAAGGCATAAGGGGCGGTTTTTCTTCTTTGGCGAAATAAAACTAGTTTCGTTAATAATGACTACGCAGTGTTAAATATGCTGCGTTTTGATTTTTCTTACAAAAGGCTTTTAAATTTGGAGGTTAAAAAATCATGGTAAATTGCTTTGGACAAAGCGTTTTGAATTGACAACGTAAGAGTAACATTAGCCATAAATGAGAAATATCAAAATAACGTTCAAGCATTAGGCCTACTTGCAAATTGGAGCTAGCAATTCGCCCCCTATGCCTTGAAAATGGTTGCTTTTATAATCAGTCACGCAGAAAGCAGTGTAACTATTAACTAGGTCACATACTTCAATGGATCGAAATATTAAATTTTATGGTATTATTATAAACATGCCAAAATTGAAATGAACGTATATCACTAAACCTTTATCCTGTTCTTTAATTTTCAACTATGACTATTTAGCTGTGCTATAATTATGACACAATTTTATTAAAAACAACTAAATTTCAACAGCCAAAATTCTAAAACAGCCATTCCACAGAATTTTCCCCATCTTGATTACTTCACATGTAAAACTTTACTGCCATCACTAATTGTACCGATGCAGCTTAAAATTTTGTGTAGTTAACATTAGGCACAACTGCAATGTTCATTGTCATTAGGGGCGTGATGAAAGAAAAAAGCATGGAGGACACAAAATATCACGTGGGGAAAATATCGGTGGATGGCAAAACCCAGTGTTCAGCATGCAGGCGTCAAATCCATTTTTAAAAAATGCATCAAATATAAGTTATCGACAAATACCTAAATCCATTGTCTTAGAACGTTTCGTTAAATCGATAAAAACTGAAATATCCATATACTTAGTATCCTGACCGCCTCGCGTCCACACCCTGGTCACTCAGAACTGAAGAAAAAGTGACATCTCTTCCAAGGGTTCAGGTTTCAAATGATCCATCGGGGTAGGAGGTAGGAAGAGCTGGGTGACCGCTCTTTCTATCAAATACCATAATTTGGCAGACAAACTTTCATTAACAAAGTACTAAAATAGTAATGAACAAGAAGCTTTTGTTCCCCGCATATATATCAAAATACACTAGATCAAATTAATCAAATTAAACTTCAGACCCTTACACACCCCAAAGTAAAATGGCATTATGTAGGTCAATCTGAGTAGTTTTTGCCAGGTTTGGCGAACCAAACTGTTCTATAGCGCCGTCTGGAGGGGAACAGGACTGATCTTCTCTAGTGCAATCGGTGGCTTAGCAGATTGTTTTAGTGCGTGCATGCGTGCGTGCGTGTGTGTGTGCCTGCAAGCGCTTGTACTTAATCTTCAGCATCACAGAAATAAATGGCGATAATAATGCAATTCGATCTGGCATAAATACAAATAAAGTAATAGTTATTTGTGTGAGAGAAAGGGGAAGGAGACCCGTTGGGGGGGGGGGGGGAGCGCGACCATAAATAGATCTTTATTCATCTTCTTTCTTAATTCTCGATCTACAATACAAATACTACCATTCGTCTTACTTCCATCTGTACCTGTAGAAAATCGCGTTCCAAACAATACAAATATAATAACCGTTTCGTTAGTTTTTTTAATTCCAAATCACAGGATCAAGTGCGAAGACGCCGTTTGTATAAAACACTTTCTAGTAAAAAGGACACGCAAGTATTTATTACCACACTTGAGAATATACATGTATACATACTTTGTACATGTGAATATTTCATTGGATGTGATCTCGTCTAAAATAATATTGTAAATGGAAAAACTCATGAATTTATGTGATTCAAAAAGTACTTCCTCGTAATAAACTAAAAGAGCACCAACTATACCAATATTAACCCATCGACTTGTTAGTACATGTAAAATACTAGCTATAGTCAAGTAGTCATTTTTATGCCTACAATACGTAAAATTAAAAACAGTGTTTCCTTTGAAGTTTTTTCTTAATTCAGAAAAAAAATGAAAAGTTTCTTTGGGTTTATGTACATCAGTTCCTAATCTCATATGCATTGTGTTGTCATCATTAACAATGAAAAGCCTACTGAACTTATTAAGTATTTCCACAAAATATACTTGATAATTAGTACATGTAAGTATCGTCTAGATTAAATATGTAAACATATTATGAACCATATGTAATAATAATTATGATGAGGGATTAACTATTATAGAATTGACGATTAGATAAATAAATGGATCAAAACATGAATAAGAAACAAAGCAACACTAAAAAATAAGTGCAGAGGAATAAAAAAATTGAATTCGGTGATTTTATCCCCAGAAATGCATTCTTTAGTTCAACTCAAAAAGTGTCAATTGGCCGGGCCAAGGCCAGATACCGTGTAACACGTTCACTGTGTTTGTTTGTCCGCCCGCAGTTCTGTATCAAATCCTAATTCCCTACCCCTACCGTCCGTTATAAAAACTGTGCAATGTGACATCAATCAAGGAAGGCCCCGTGAGGTCATCCGTGCCCTCTCGACATAACTGTCCGAAAAAAGGTCCAGTGCCCTCTTTAACAAAAGAAATTTAGTCCAAAAATTGGTGTTAAATTTTGGACCTAGATTTTAAGTCAAATTTGAACCAAGATCAATTAGCAGAAGTCGAATCATATAAATGAAATGTAAATGTCTGTAATGTTTCATAGCAATGAAGTGGCCTACTTTGCAACTTTTAACTGAAATAGGTTGAACTGAAATAGGTTCGCATCATTATTTGGGGCTAAGTACTTGTGTGCAACTGACCCTGGTGTTGTGAAATGATATGTAAGAATCCCGCCATAAATTAAGAGAACGCCCATATCAATTTATTACAATGACACAAAAATAACCCCGTAGGTATAAATCATTACCTTTGTAGTAATATAATTTATGGGTGATGTTTAAAAGGCAAAATTACTTGTTTAAAAGTAAAATGGCGGCTACTCTGCTGTTGTGAACTGCGCATTTTGTTTTTGGCTACTGAATGACGTCAGTGTTCAAAAGAAAGTGGCATCAGAAAAAAGCATCTTATAGCAAACATACGACGTCATAGTGACGTACGGTGACTATCATGACTAATTGGCAAAGACGTGATAAGTGTGGAAACTGAGTATGATTTAAGATATAAACTCAGATTACTGTACCTCAAGTGTATTGAACCCAAGTTGCTTTTAAAATCATGCTATGGGCATGGCTTTTCGTCCACGTCAAGACGCAAGGTGTCACCTTGATGAGGCCCTTGATATGAGCAACGTGCCAGTACTATTGTAAATGCGGGGCACAACAGAAGGGATGGAAGTATGGGGACCTGAATTTCTATTTCTGCGGTTTCCGATCTTCCATTGAAAGGCTGAGATACACAGTCCAGTAAATGATATTGAACAATGCAAAGCAGAGAAAGAACAGCGCCCTCCCTATGCTGTCTACCTTTGCTGGATTCCAGTAGATCTGTTTCGGCGTACTGGCCAGGTATTTGGCGTCCGAAGATAAAGGACTGATGCTATTCAGCGCTGGTTTGACGTCCTAAATTGATAAAGAACAAAAACAGTTTAGAAATGTACAAGTGTCATTTAATTCTCATTTACCAGAATAAAATAAAAAAGTAAACATAAAAGTGGCTGTAACTAAAGGTTAAGGTTTGAAATAGCGTGTTGGTTTGTTTAAAATAATCAGACAAATTTGGCAACAAGAAAAAGCGTTTTGGAAATACTATAAGTCACCAAGTAGTGTCGGGGGCCAATTAAAGTTTTCGATTCAAACTTCAGTTCAGAATAGTAGTATTCTTACGACGATCTCTCCCCTGTCCTTTCGGTCATCCAGCCTTTGAATCATAACATTGACCAAGGCATATTCAAACATGGCCCCCACCACGAAAACGAGGCAGGTAGCGAGCCACACGTCCACGGCCTTGACGTAGGACACCTTTGGCAATCCTTGCTGGGTGTTGACGCTCTGTGTCATAGTGGTCAGCACAGTGATGACCCCTATGGTCACTCGAGCTGGAACTGCCCGTGGGTCAATCCACATACTCATGAAAGCCAGGAAAACCACGACAATGCTTGGGATGTAGACATTCAGAAGATAGGGGCGCAGATCCCGGGAGAAGAGAACATTTACGGTCAATACGGAGTAGTTGCCTAGAATAAAAGAGAATTAAAAACTTCTTTTATTTCATCTGAGAAACTGAAAAGGTTAAATGTTGTATATTTGAGTATTTAGGCAAGAACATCGAACTTGTCATCAAGAAAAAATATATCAACAAATGCAATTACCTCGTTTATCCAAAATAAGACCGGAATCGGTTTCTATATCCACAAGTTCGAACTCCGGAAAATTAAGATCACTTTTACTGAAACGTATGGGTTCTTTTTCGTCCCAGAGCAGTTGTAGAGATTCCACTGTGTAAGCATCTATTTCATGAAAAATATAAATGAAAATAAAATCGATGCAGCTGTACGAGACACACAAGTAAGTACACAACATTAATGAGAAAATGGATGTTTTAAGATAACTGTTATTACTGCGTTTTTTAAAATGAAGTCGATGTTGTCTGTTATCTATAAGACAAAGGTGTTTCATTGAAATGCTAATAATTTAAATCAATATGTAAAATATATGCTTTAGGCTAATATTTTTACTTACAACTAGACATTTGAATTTTGCAGAACTGGGTGTCCATGGGGAACCTCAGGAAATTGTACTGGCAGCCAATGGTCAAAGAGAGTCTATGAATAAAGCACACAAATAAAACGTAAGACGGCATGTTTAGTGCAATGACGTAAAATTGTACTTTTTACAACTGAGCCTGATGATGCTGATGATGCATGCAATATTTACATTCTGCTGTAGACTAAATTGAATGACACCTCGCTAAAATTCTATGCATTAATTTATTCAGGTACCAGGTCGGACATTTGGTATAATTTTGTGGGGGTCTGGAAATTTCATGATAAGCAGGAAGTTGAACCACACAGATTTTTATTTATGGAGGTATCTCAAGGATAATGAAATCTCAAACGATTAGTGAACTTCAGGCGGCAACCACAGAAAAAAAAATCAGGGAAATCCCGAACGAGGAACGAGTTCGAGTAATTGATAATTTTGCGAGATGTATGCAAGTATGTCTCCACTTAGGAGCTTATTTCATTTTAGATATCTTGGTCGCTTTTATGAAAATTTTATGAGAATGATCGTGCACATACTGAAGTTTAAGACCAGCAACTTTCTTGAAATAAAAGTTTTATGGCTTCTTTTTTTCTTTTTTTCTTTTTTTTTTTTTGGGGGGGGGGGGGAGGTTGTCACCCTGTAGAGTATGTTTTCAAAATTTATGTCAACTTAATTTTGGACATCACAACTGAACGAAAAAAGGGGAGTAACTAAGTGTGATGTTTATATGAAACATAGATCTCTTCACTTATTCATGTATTGTTGCAATATACATACCTTTGGGAATACACCATCCTTCCGTCTGGATTGATCTGTAACATCACGTTGGGATATGTAATGCTGTGCCGCTTTGCTTTTTTCTCCTTCAAGAAATACAAATCTGGCATCCACGCTTTTGAAAAAATCTCCCCAAAGGTTAGAAATATGGGTTGGCTGTGTCGGTCTGCGGAAGCCAGTCGAGGTTCACGCCAGCTCTGTAGTAGGTATATCCCGACCGTAAAATCCTAACGATATAAAATGTAATGACCATGCATACAAAGATGCGGCAATTGGCGAAACTTTGAAGCAGCTTTTTCCTTGATTTTTTTTTTTTTTTTATAACCCTGGGAAGTTGGAACAAACTGCTCTTCTCACAGTCCATCCCCACCATATAGGGTAATTATACAAAGTAGATAATAAATTGTTATAGAACTCAGAATGCCGTTGAAATGTGACCGTGTGACAGTTTCACACTTTAAATTGGACGTTAAAATTGAAAGTAACAAAAGGGGTGCTTTCACAGCCGCTTTGAAATACAGAATGGGAATATTTTAATATTATAATATTTTAATTAATATATAATTGATATTAATAATATATATAATAATATTATATAATATTTTAAAAGCAAAGACCTTTTTTGATTATTTATACATGTGTCTCTCAAACTTACCATGTTCGTAATACTTATATCACTGAAGGTATCAATCGTAATCCCAACGGTAACATTATCTGAGACACCTGATAAAAGAAAAGGAATACACGACAATGATGTTTTAACATAAAAGTTTTAACTTAAAAGCTTAGAATAAATAGGTGGGTGCGGGTTACTGCTAGTTATTGTGTAGGGGTGAAATTCATGTATACAGGCCTTTAAAACTAGGGTTGGTTTTAACAAGTTTTATTCAGAATTGTCCAATTTTGCTGCATGTGCATGCAACGTGGTCGGTGAAAACGGAGTGCGGTCTGAGAGAGAGAGAGAGAGAGAGAGAGAGAGAGAGAGAGAGAGGAGGAAAGCAATGCAAAGGATACTCACCACTCGTCATATACGGTCTCCTTTGGGAATCGTAATCATGTTCCAATCTACTCAGAATGTTATTTTTTTCTTCTTCGAAGCTCCATGTATACTCATAATGATAATCATAAACGTCATAATCATCACTATAGTTATCCGCTGTGTTGTTTCCAGATGAGTTGCTAACCGAAGCAGAGGTGCTTGATGTTCCATCGTTCATCGACATAGCGCTGCAATGGACAAAAAATTAATGACTAGGCGAGCCTCCCCTCCAGGAGAGGCGGGGGGAGGGGGAGGGAAGGAAAAGGGGTTGATTTAGAGACAGACTACTTTCCTTGGAACAGGCTTATCGGTTAGATGCATCAAGAGGAATACTAGAGGAGGTTTTTTACACAAGATGTGCAATTTATCTGAGGAACAGAGGCAAAATGCACAAAAAAAAAAAAAAAAAAAAAAAAAGAGCAAGTAGGCTGGTCTGTTTTTTCATGCTTTGAATCTGTTGAGCACTGTCAAGATGCTCTATTGTAAGGGGGAGAGAGAGAGGTCCAGCCGACCACACGGGATGAGCAGAGGCAGGCGGCCTTTTCGAAGGACTTTTTTGAACATGGCAATTACCTTTCTCTGTAAATTACCCATAATTCCACAAATCAAAATGGACCACTAAGAGGTACCCAAACGAATTAAATGAAGAGTATTTTAATGTATATGTGAATTTAGACGGAATTCTTTTGGGTTGAGCTTAATGTCATATAATGTGATGAAACAATAGCTGGTTAGCCCTTATGAATTATCGAAAGGTTGTATATGTAACAGGATTATCAATCGATGGCCCTTCTATGTAAGTAGCATCTCAAAGGTAACGCAATATATTTCTGCATTCCCTAGTGCACAGTTACCACACACACGGTATATAATGACAATTCCAACAGAAAAGGGCATGAACTGTGATTTATTGTTAACTAGCTGATTCGCATTGTAATAAAATGTCAACTTTTGTTTGTTACGATACATAAAATATGAGAGGAAATGAGCCAGTGGACATACAAATTTATCATGAAAAGGGCGCCTTCACATCACGATCGATAATTTGAGTTATTTGCATTCGGTCATCCAACGTCTCCTATCTACCAGCGCTTTGGACCTTTATACAACAAACGGTTTTTTTTCTTAGAAAATTCAGTAAAATTACTTTTTATTATAAAGGTTTCTTGTCCAAAATCATTCAGAATACTACGATTTATAAACTTATTTCGAGCTCAAAATTTGTAATCTTATACCCCCACTAATCGAATTAACTTGTCCCCGTGCTCAAATTACGAGAGTTGTTCAAAATTAGAAAATGGTTCGTAGATCGTAACTTTGCCAGCGTTTTTGAATATGGTATAACTTGGAGATCGAGGGTGTTGCAATTTCAGGGAAAATTAAATCTGCTTAATTAAGGTCTAACCTCGTTGAGTGAATTACTAAAATATACAATGACACTTTTATGATTAAATTTTTTTCTTGCATATTTAATATTTTTATCATAAAAAAGTCCACAGACCTTCACGATTAATAGCTGGATCCCCCCTCCCATAATTTAACCTTCTTACTTTATTTGCAATTAAGGACATTAAGAGGTATGAAGAAACTTAAGTTGTCTGCTTTCGTGTCAAACCATTATTCATCAATCAAATAGATTGTGTTTCAGATGACATCGAAGGTTGAATTGATAAGAAATATTACACAAAGATATTCATTTTTACACAGTTAATACACAGGTCTGTTTTTTAGAAAAAAATATTTCCAACGTTTCATGGTGAGCTCTGCTTCAAAGCTAAGGGTAAAAGATAAGGCCCTTGTTTTTATGATGGTGAATTTCACTGCTGACATATTTCCTGGAAACAGTTTGCCTTTTTTGTTAACAAGTCATCTTGAATTCTAGTACCAAAAAAAAAAAAAAAAATGCAATATTTGCTTAATAACAAAACCAGGTACATTCCTCTTTTAAAAGTTGAAACGTTAGCTGCTTTTTAGTTAAAGAAAAGGTCATGATAATGAGAAATTAAAACATCACTTGTGTCAATAACAAAATACATACGTATCTGTACTAGTAAGGAAAAAACTAAATAACATGCAGTTTTAAGTTTAATGTTGTCGTTCACTCACTGTGTGTAGCACATCAAAAACGGCAGTAGGACCATAACTGGCAATACCATCAGCTTGGCCATGTTGAAATCAATTTGTTCCTATTACTGGCGCTTGTCTTCTCTGATAATATACCGTCCTTCTCGTCATCGGCCTTATAAACGCTAATAGATTCCTCATCAACTATTTATGAAGGATGGTTTAGTCTGGACTGCGATAAGTGAACAACAATGAGAAAGAGTGGGATAGAGAACGAGGATAGAATTAACCAGCTGGGCAGTTCTCTAATGTAAAAAGCAAATACTACTTGGTCATTTTCTTCAAATAAGTGTTAATGTATAAAATTTAACTTAAGTTTCATGTACCTTGCGACATTGTTCTCTTGGTTTGACGATCAATTAATTTTATCTGCAAAAAGTATAATCGATGAACACGATGAAAAAATAAACACTTGTTTCACAGGTGCCGAAACAGACACAAAGATTGTATATAATTTAAAGGAAATGTCAACCACGTCTGAGCTGTATAAATCAGTTTTGGTGATTATTTTATCAAATGCAAATGAATCCCCCCCCCCCCCCAACCAGGCTTTCATGAGTGCACGAACTTTTCGCTGACATCATCTCTACCACAATCAACCACCGATGTCACAGTGTAACGTTACAGAAAGTCCCCCATGATAGAGAGTCCGCTTCCCATTCATTTGTACAGGTAAGTCTCGCCCTAGATTTTGACCCACTTAGGTCAAGCTAACCCTAACCTTTATAACTAAATGGAAAGCGGACTTTCTGTTACATGGATCTTCAGTTTCGTTGCAACTGGACTGTGACGGTAGGCGAATTCATATCAATCACATAGTTATCCCGCTGTAGATTCCCTTGTAAGTTCATAGAAATAAGCTGATTTTCAGGGAATAACATTGTGTTAGAAATCTAAAAATAACCTGAGCTCACTGTTAACCAATTCATGGTAAATTTTTCGCCTGCAACCTATAAATGAACTAGCACGCGCATACTTACAATACTTAAGTGCATCTCTTAAACAGTTACTTATCATTTATTATTTATATCAGTGGTTAATTTTGTGACCACAGGAAACTCTTAATATCTACATTACATGAAGGCGTATAACAGAGGACGTGCGAATGTGTAAAAGCTTTCACCGACCGCAACGCGTGCTGCTCTACGCGCGCGTGCGATTGTACGAACGTTTTTAACTTTTAGGATCCAGGACCTACTATGGACCCAATGACATGAGCGAGCTTCCTAGGCCGTCTCATGCCACTGATAAAGGACGTTAACCTGTACGTTTTAGTTAATCATTTATTATGAGCATTATTGTTGACTAATTACGTTACTGGGCATTTATTCGATGGGTCATAGGTAAAATGAGTGCAGAAATTATTCATTATTTGGTGTAATGAAACATCACTAATGTCTTCGGGCGTGGTTTGCTCGGCCTGGCGTGGTTGTTTACAGATATATTCTGTGCTGTTTCCCTTTCTGTAACCTTATCGTTCGGTTGAAATAGAACGAAAATGAAAATGCCCATTGTGACAAAAGGATAAGTCCAGCAAGGCCTATTTGGGATGTTACATCTACTGTTAACTAAACTGTAACTGAAAGTTAAGGGTGGTGAACTGAAAGAACACAGTGTTATGTATTATATTTACGCTCTATAATCAGACTCGTCGACCCCCTCTACACGCTGCGGCGTGTTGGATGTGTTTTGCATATCGTCTTTAGTATTCGTGTCAGGATTCACTCGGCTTTCTCTGTAATCCAAAATATCAGTTTCAATAACTGAGGGCCGAAAAGATTCCCTGAAATCGCCATTTGCTGTGAAATCCTGATTCCCGTTATTTCCCCCCTTCGTTCCTTCGGAAGATTTCGATTTTATAGAGCTCCTAAGCAATTCTCGGCTATCTTTTATATTGTTTCGTTTAAAATGATTGTTATTCATTCTCTCGTGTGAAGAACCGGAGACATCGGAGGTTGACTCGATGCTATCGATGGAACTCCCTGGGACCTGAGGTGTGTCCACGACGCTAGGACCAGGAACGGCAGGGTCCGCCGAGGCCCTTAAACTGTGACCTGTGACGGATTGCCTCGGAAGAAAGCCATTGGCCTGCATGTGCTTGTCTGTGAAAATTTGTAAAATTAGAATTAAACGCAGAAATGAGGACAGTACTTACACATTTACATAATCCAAGTTAAAAAAAAGGTTTTCCGAACTATTTATTTTCTCTTCTCGCCAAATCGAAATTGAAAAAGTTAATAACGTCTTGTAAGGCGCGATCGGTTCTGATCAACCAATATAATTGATAACAAAAATGTTATATTAGATATCACTAGTCTACTACAGGTGCACTCTACACTCCTACCCGTCTCATATTCTGTCCTCCTTGATCTGTGTAAAAAGAAATCGGACTTGTGAGGTTTTCTGGGGCTATTCTCGTTCTGAAATATCCAAGAAAAAAGAGCTTATTTCTATATTTCTTCTGCTGTGTGTTGAAAATTATAAAACTGTGACTTTTGATTACTATACTTAGCCGATCTATATTACAGAAAGTAATCATGCCAGATTTGGAGAAAAAATGAGCAATATTTTATACATCATCGTCAAAACCAAACGTAATAAAAAAAAATCCAGCACGTATAATTGGAAATATCGGTGAAAATAAAATTCAAAAAACATAATTTGAATTCTTTTTGGTCAAAATGATTCGAATGAGTATAACTGTTCTAGTCCGGTGGCTTAAGGAAAAAATCGTGACACGGCGGATAAAAGCACCAAATTTTGCATGTGGGTACCTTTTGACATTCTAAACCAAATTAGAGCCGTAGCCCACGGAAAAAATTTACCGTTTGGCCAAAAAATCCAAAATGGCCGCCAATTTATTGAATTCTTTAGAAATATGTACATACCTATGTTGATTTTTATCAAATAAATTATTTTCTCAGAGTTTTCCACACCCTTATTACCCATTTTATTCATATATGTCAGATAACAAACAAGTTCCCTTGGACTTTTTGAAAAAATCCAAGATGGCTGTCATTTGCCATAGAAACAGCCATAGGAATACTAGTGCACAACTATTACCAGCTAGAACGATACGTTGTCCACTATCAAATTAAGTCTGTTTCTCAGATCTTTGTTACCCACATAATATGTTTGTGGTGAGTAACTACGAAGTGTTCTTGGGCATTTTGGAAAATCCAAGATGGCTGCCATGTGCCACAGGAATTCTAGTATACGGGG